ATATGTTCTCAACTATAACTAATTACACATATGTAGCATTTTGTATCATTTTCAAGATTATTACAGTGATTTAATTATCATGGTGATATGATCACCAAAGTGATTTGATCACCAAAGTGATTTGATCACCAGGTATCTTAGATTATCATATTTGATATAACATCATAAATCACTGGTGTTTTTAACTTACTTGTTTGGTATTAAATGAAAAAATAAATCATATAGTACAAAATATCTAAAATAACCTTACAAAAAGTAAAATATTGAATCAATAATTTATAAAATAATTAAATGTTATTTTATAAAAAGTTACAAAGTATAAATCAATTTCAAAAAAATATTTTCTAAAAAAATTATTAAATAAATTTATTATTTTTTCTAATCAATATAAATTTATAACATAAAACTTTTTTAGAAAAGTGATTAAAAAATCTATTTTTTAAAATTTGTAGTGATCAGCTTCTTGTGGTAATATTAATTACATTTTTCATGAAGGTAAAATTAGTCCAAAAATAATATTAAAAATTACTTTCTCAGGGTGAAAAATTTTTCTTATCCTTTAAGTTGATTATCAAATCACTCTCTAAGACAATAATTTTATTACCACAATGATTTAAAATCATTATCACGAAATATTTTTAAATTGTTACAAAAAATGATATAATTACTATATACAAATCATTGTAATTTTTAAACAGATCATCTCATAATGAATACTTTCATAATGTATACTTATTAGCTAATAAAAATAATAATAATTTCTTTTAAAATTTTTAAAAACAAAAATCATGTACTAACTACAAAATCAAATACTCGTATGTTTAATACTTCCTTTTATCTATTTTTTTAGATGTCCAAATATTATGTTCTATTTTTTTTTTGAACATCTAAAATTTTTTTATTTTTTAACATTAAAATTTATGAAAATTTAATTTTATAAAAAAATTTAAAATTTTAATATTAAATATATTAAAATCAAAAATTTTCTTCTTACATACTTTATAAAAGTTAATACATGAAAAAACTACTTATTACCTATGCTCACCACCTCAATTGTGACAAGTGTTAGTAATAATATAGTAGTTGGTGGCATGGCCTAAATCTCAACTCAAAGTAGCTCCCTCAATAAATTATTAGTTTAATAATTTTAAATTCGCTTTTAAAGTTGAAGGTATCAAATTCATATTTAAACTCTTGATGCAACCAAAAGAACAAAACCCTAAACCTAGCTCCTAATTAATCCTATGTCAATCACTTTAATCTTTGAGACCCAACTTGACACAAGCGTGATAATTGTCATTTTCAAGCTGCTTAAGTTATTATTATTTTTGCCATTTGTCTTGATTATTGACTGCCTAATATGGTACTAACGCTACCTACCATCAAAAAGAAAAAGAAAAAATTTTAATTAATTTCACAAGTGCTCACTGAAACATTGATTAAAAAATATTAGATTGGACCGAATCATCAAAACTCAATCGATTAAAGTTTATTTTTAATGATTGTATTTAAATTTTATCGATAATTATTTATTTTAAATTATTAAATATAATATATTTTAATTTAATTTAAAAAATTAAAAAATTTATTTATTTCCGAATCTTTATTAAAAAAAATTTGTGAAATGACGGTTCAATGATTTTGTTTTGTTGGTTTTCAATTTTCTTGAGATGGAAATATCCTAAAGTTACGGGAATCTTAAGAAAATTAGAGCCTCTATTTTCTCCGTAAAAGTCAAGTTAGCTCATTTGCCAAGTTTCCTTTTGGCATTTACTTCGTTTCTATGCAAAGGGCCAAAGTTCTTAGCTCAAATTTCCTTTTTCTCGACTTGTTGGGCGCTTAGTGGTTTTCTGTCTATTCGAGTTAAGGATCATTGGAGGCATGCATTGGCAACTAAAAGTAAATCTAATAATTTATATATTTATGAAATATAAAATATTAATAATTTATATTAATATAAATATATAAAATATATTTTTTAATTTTATTAAAAATTTAAATTATATTATTTCTATATTATATTGAAAATTATATCTATCTAAAAAAAATCAAAGAAAGGCTTCCATTATGTTTTCTGTCAACAATTTCAAACAAAAGCACCATTCACGAATCAGCTTTTGCTGCATCTTTTCTTTATTATTCTTGTAGTCTCTGCTCGTCAAGTTTTCCTTTCAAGCAATGTGATACAGGTAGAGCAAAGCTGGAATTCAACGTAATCCTCGTCTTCATTTTTTTTTTTTATATATTTGAGACTATTAAAAATTAAAATACAATATTTTAGGTTGTTGACATCACCTAATAAATTAACAAACCAACATAAATTGAATCAAAACTCATCCATGGTGTGAAACTTAATGATTTTAAGCGTTTTTTATAATGTAACGAGAGAGATTTTCATAATACGATTATATTTTATGATTAAATTTTATAAATTTAATTATAAAATTGTTGAAAATAATAACTTAAATTTCATAAGAGATTTGTTTGAGATTTATTAGAGATTTATTTGAGATTTGTTATATATTGCTCGATGGACAATAAGACTTGCAAAAGAAGAATTCTAAGAAAAAAAAATTCTTAATAGGTAAGTTTAACTTCTAAAAGAAGAATTTTAAAATGAAAATGATTCTTAATAGATAAATTTGACTTACAGGAGAAGAATTCTAATAGGAGATTGATTTTTAATGGGCAAATTTGTATGGTTATAAATATGTGAAGTCTCTACAGGATTATGCATGAAAAAAAAATATAAGAGAGTTTAGGGTTTTGTAGGAGAGACACCCGAGGCTCTACGTCTTATGGGTGTGTATGTGTATGTTTGTTTGTGAGTGGAGATTGAGAGGGTCTACATAGATATGATGTATGAGAGTATATAAGTATATGTTTGGTTATGTTAAAATAGTGCACAAGGGTTTGGGTTTATGTTTGTTTGGGTTGAGAATACTTCATAAGATTAGAAGAGATTGAGAGTGTTTATGAGTATTGATTGTTTAGTGAGGTTGATGATTTGATGTATGTTTGTAATTCTTTACAATTAATAGATTTTATTTTTCATCCGTAGACGTAAGTTGATTAGATCGAACAATGTTAAATTATTGTCTCTTGTGTGTTTAATTTTACTTTCATTGGTATGATTAGATTGAAATCTTTTAACCCAACAAAAATAACATTAGAATGCAATGAAAAATCTTTCCATGGCTGTCAACAAATATATAAATTTTAACTCACGAAGATATGGGAAACCCAAACAAAAACCATAGTTAATTTTGACTTTAGAACGGGCAAACCTTGGAGAATTAATATCAACCTACTTTAATGTAACTTCAATTTTCAGGTATTATGTGATTAAGTGCTTCTTTTGAAGACATTGTCCCCTGCACGTGCTACCGGTTTTCACAAATATTGCAAGAGCACTTCCACAGTCCCACCATTACAAACCTGTTAAGAAATCATGTCTCCTTTTCTTTAACTTTTCTTCCATTACTTTTTTTCTTCTTTAAATTTTTTTTAGAGAAAATTTCAGAAAAAGATAGCTTACTCAATTCGCTTAAAAAATAATAATTATAGGTCATATATTTAAAATGATCTCAATAAAAATACATCTATTAAACTCAAATCCAAAATCATTTACGTAAAAAAAAAAAATTCCTACCAAACCTCTTAGTCTTTAAATTTGTCTTTGTACCATTCTCGTAGCTTTACTTATATTTTCATGTATTTAATTAGCTTTTTAATTATTTTTTTAATTTTTTATTTTTGTTCTAATTTGATAGAATTATTGAGAATAGTGACTTAAATTCAATAAAAAATTTGTTTGAGATTTATTATATATTACTTGATGGATAATAAGACTTACATAAGAATAATTATAAGAAAAAATATATTTTTAATAGGTAAATTTAACTTGCAGAAGAAAAATTTTAAAAGAAATAGATTTTTATTATATAAGTTCGTGTACTTATAAATAAGTGAAGTCTAGGTTAGATATAAAAAAAAAGAGATAATTATAAGATTTTATGAGATAAATACTTATAAGATTACTAGAGATTTATATTTTGTGAGTGTATATATTTATATGTTTGTGAATAAACTAAAAGTGACTGAAAGAGTTCACATAAATATGATGTATTGATGCACATGAGTATACGTTTATTTAGGTTGATGATATTTTATATGATTAGAGGAAATTAAAATGTTTTATGGATATTAATTGTAAATTCTTAATTTAATGTTTTGATGTAATTCTCTACGATTAATTAATCTTATTTTTTTTTATCTATAAACATAAATCGATTAGATCAAATTATATTAAATTATTATATTTTATATAATTAATTAATTATTTAATTTTACTTATACTTATGTGATTTGATTAGAGCCTTTTAGCCTAATAGGCTTGCTTTTTTTCTTTGCTTCTCTTGCCACACACATTGAACAATTATAACTAGCCTTTTTAATTTATACTTTGATCATGAAAAAGGGCAATTAATATTCATTGGAAATTATAATTTGAATACAGAATTGATAAAAAAGTGTATCCACAAAATTAAATTATGTCCAAACATCGGTATATCTATATTAAAAAAACAGGGGTAAAGTTAATATACGTGTCGATAAAATATTAAATTTTTAATTTTAATGATATACCCTCAAATAAAAAAACAGGGGTGAAATGAATTGAAGAATCAGGCAACTCATCAACCTTTTATTTTGGTTTAACTTGAACGGTGCTGCTAAGAAGCAAGAAGTCAAAGAACATGTGCAGAAGCAGAAATGGTAGGCCTAAAGGCTGAAATTATTCCAAGTTTAATGGTTGTTTTGATCAAAGTAGGTTTCGTCTTTTGTTCAAGGACATAAGAGTGACAAAACAGGCTGGACATGTTTGGGATTGCCCCTTGCTCAAAGAGTTAATCCTTCAACTGCGTCTCAATCTCGAACATGGGGGAAAAATATTTATGTTTTGTTAAAATTTTATTTGAATGAACATGAAATTTATTAAAATTAATATTTAAATTTAATTGATTATTCGATAAGTTTAATCCGATGATATGAAATCTAAACATCGACTAAATCTTTGGAGTTATCAATGCCCCAATTCAGTTTTTTTCTAATTCTCGATTCCCACTCATAAGTGTGAAATCAACTAAAGATTATCTCATTTCAAACAATTGAAGCGATTGAGATCTCATTAGTTTGCAATATCCTCAAAGCAATCATAGTTTTTCCTGTTCAATTAATCAGAAAAAAATCAAAGGGGTCACCATCCACAACTATGGACTTCCTTTCTGTTCAAATTTGTCAAATCCATTCAAGTAAAACAAGGTAACAAGGCTGCTGCAGCTGCAAATTTTCTGGTCATAAATGTATATGTTACGCAACTGATATCAGTTGAAGATAACAGAAGCAAATAAAGAAAACAATAAGCTCTTTGATATTTCCATGAGATTAGTCAACCAATGATGTCAACTGAAAGAGCTTTCACAGCAACAGCAGTTGAAACATCCCAAAAGTCATAACCAAAGCTTACTTCACATATTTTATTAATAATTAAACCTGATTTACAAGCAAACAACCCAACTGTCCTAACACTTAACCTTATTTCTAACGACTCCCTACTGAAAATCACCTACTGAAAATCACATCTTAGAAGACTCTGAACCAAAACAAAATGACTGAAAATTACTTGAAATGACTCTTCTCTCTTAATCTTTTTTAGTTTTCCGCCCTTTGATTAAATTCCAGTAAGCTCATGGAGATTAATACTGAAACATGTTATCTGCAGAGGCCATGATAGGCTGATTCAAGTAGGCAAAACTGAGTGGGTTGAGGAAGCTGTCGGCAGGCTCAGTGAAAGCAGGGCTTGTTGTATCTTCTTCAGCATCGAAATTAGCATCATTGTTCAAGAAACTGATGATATCATTTAAAGACAGTAATCTGTAGCTGAGCTCATTGGCTTGAGCTCTAAGCACTGAGTTCTCAGCCTCTACATTCAAGTAATGCTGGGTGGTGATGTTTATCCTTGTAATGATCTGATGATTCTCTTTCCGCAGCTGAGTTACCTGAGTCATCAGATCACCCAAATGCTTCTGCTTCCTCATCCTGGACCTCCTTGCTGATTCTCTGTTTGATATCATTCTCTTTCTTTTCCTTTCATCCATCAATGCCCGCAAATCCCCCTCAGACCCTGAGTTTTGTATCAAAGTTGATGAACCTGAGGAAGTGCCACTGGAGGAAGCCATGGAAATTGCAGATACTTGGAAAGATTTTTGAATTTTTTTAACACAGATAGTAGTAAATCAAAAGAGAGATGACAATACTAATAGTAATAATAATAGCAGGACCCAAATTAAAATAAAAATACTCCTAATAAAGATGAATAATGCAAATAGATATAAGTAGCAAATTTATTTATAGATTATAGAATAAGTAGTAGAAATTAAAGCCAAAATCATGAAACGTAATACAACCAGTAGAGGAAAACAACTGAGAAGGATTGAACAAGATGAGTCCTACGAATGAATGTGGAATCTATCATAACCCCGGAGAGAAAGATTTCACTGAGAATTGGAGACATGAATCTCAAACATCAAGAACAAAAGATTGAACATGAAGATATTGCAGTTAAAAAAACTTTTCCCTGGAAATAAAAAAGAAAAAGGAAAAAACTTTGACTTATGCTACTTGAGACAATCTCAAGAACACCAAGCCCAGCAGCTCCAGAAGAAAAATAAGATGAAAAGAAAAGATTTTTGATGATGGGTAATGGATTTGAAACCCCAAAAACTCAAGTTTGAGTTCAGCAAGAAGAACCCACAACTTGGTTTTGAATCAAGGAGAAGAAGAACAGATTAACAGCCAGAGTTCAAATCTGGAACTCAAGATACATATAAAAAAAAATAGCAAGAGGAATCTTGAAGAAATTATGCTAAAGGACTGAAAATGAAGGGAAGGAAAAGTGGAAGAGTTACTTGAGTGAATGTAAGCCGATTTATAGAAGGAAAAATGACCAACGAGATGATGAAAGTTTGATAAAAAAAAAATGCAAAAAGAAAAGAAAACGACTTTGGGAACATGAAAAACAAATAAAGCTAAGGAAAAAGAGAAGCTTGGATTCTCCTCAAGAACAAAAATGTTGAAAAAGTTGATGGGACATGTGAGGTGGGCGAGAGAGAGAAGGCTCCACAACTGGGCAGATCCAGCTGGTGCCCAACTACTATCTCAGTTTTACATAATGGTGGGTAGCTGTAAGTTCATCGAACTGATTCGGTCGAGGCAAGCACGTTGCAAATGATTATAACTCTCCATTTGAATTTCATTGCACCTATGACACGGTAAATATTAAAATTTAATTTTAATGAAATTAAATTAATATAAATTTTTTTATTTTTTAGTTATAATTATAATATTTTTTTAATTATAAATACAATAAATTTCATATTTCTCCCTAATCTCCTCTTTAGATTTCTTCAGATGTACCCTAATAAAATTAGAACCTATGCATTTCACACACATTGATAAATTGGATTTTCTTCTGATTTCCCCAAATGTTACCTACTGTTAACCCAAAAAACACATAAAAAAAAAATGATGTAGCAGTTCTGACCTATCTTTCGCTTCATTGGTACTTTTTGGACACGACTCCATTTGACACTGGCAGAATCTGAAATATAAATTTTTTAATATAATACATAAAAAAATAAAATTAATATATAAAATTATATCAAATCATATCAATTATATTTGATTTTATTTTTTGAATAATATATAAATTTTAAAATTTTAAAAATTTAAATTTAAATTTCATTAATTCAAATTGAATTAAATTTTATTAGTTTGGTTTGATTTATTGATTTTTAAGTTTTAAAATTTTTATATATTTAAATAAATTTATAAATAAATAATTATTTTTATGTTATAAAAAATATAAAAATTAATAAAAATATATAATTTAAATTTTTTTTTGGTTTTTTATTTTTTGATTTAACGATTCAAATATAATATATATTTAATGTTCAAATTTAATCAAAACCATCAATACGTTTTTGAATCAATTTTTAATTTTATTTTTTTCTTATCTCTATTAATCTAGTGTATTAAATATAATTTTTATTAAATTATACTTTAACTAAAAAAATCTCATTTATTATCAAGATTAGCAATATGATTCATAAATCTTATAATATATTAAAATATTACATTTATATTATATTTTATACGAAAATATAAAATATAATTTTTTTATTTTATTAAATTTATTTATGATTTTTTTAAAGTTTAAATTATATTATCTCGATGTCTTATTATTATTTTTCAAATTGTCAGGTTTAAAAAATATCATTAGCAAATGGGCTTCAGTTTATTTGGGCTTGTACCGAATGAGAAGGAGATTGAGCTGACTCACTTTGAATCAGTGGAGTAAGCCGTGTAAGCTCAAATATGGGCTATTAGACCTGTCCTTAGCTGACTTGCGGCCTTTCCAAGGCCCAAAATTAAACCTTCCTTTTTGCTTCACTGCCCCCAAACACCTCTTCGATCCATCATCTTTTTGGGCTCCTGAGGCGACCAAAACCTGTTTTATAATCAGCGCTTTATCAGCGGTCGGTTCAAAAAGTTTAGGAGAATGGCATTTATTCATATTAAAAAATTATCTCATATGTTATTAAAATATTAAAATAATTAATAAAAATAAAAAATTATTTCATATGTTGTTGATGATTTTTTTTTTTTAATTCTATCAGCAAAATTAAATGACAAATGTCTTAAAATATTTTTATGAATATTAAAATTAATTAATAAATAAATATGCTCTCTGCCGCATTGGGCAGCCTTCCTTCTGCAGCAATTTGTAAACAAAAGCATATTATTCGAATCCACCACGTGCCTAATAAATAAATACCCTATCACTAAATGACCCAATCATTTACCCAATCGCGTACTCTTCACGTACCGATGGCAGATTCCTTCTTCCGTGCACTCCCTTCCTCTACTCTCGCCACGTATCATCATTTATCCTCTGGCCCCACCTCTCCTCAATCAACTCCTGTAATATGCCCCCTTTGATTTCTCTGACCAATTCCTCCCTTCCTAAATTCACCGTCATTTGCTCGGCGAATTTCTAATTTATTTTTATTTTATAACCAAAATTCTTTTTCATTTTATTAATATCTTTATTATTAACCGTCACCGTTACAGTTTCAAGATCGGTCAAAATTCTGGTCAGATGCAGTTAAGACCGTCCGATCTACCTCGTGATCCGTGACGTCAAAACACAAATTTTCCTAAGTTTCTTCCTAAACGAGGTAACACTCCGCTTTTTCTCCTCTTTTCTTTTCTGCATCGCAAATTTAGTTTAAACAAAGGCAAAGTTCAATCACCTGAAAATCTTGAATCTTCGTATTACCTTATTCTTGCTTGTTGATGGTAATGCGGGTTCTGATAAGGTACGTGCTGGGTTTTTTTACCATATGTTGACTGATCGATCGGGAAGACAGCTCATCGGCGGCGGCGCCTTGATTTTTTGTGACGGAACGTAAATGTCGGGGCCGCTCGATCGATTCGCTAGGCCTTGTGAGTTAATTTATTTTGTTTCTTGAACTGATTTTACTAATTCTAGGGTTTCACTGTAGCTTCAGTTTGGTTGCTTAGAAACTTTTGGTAATGTAGATGAAGGAAGAGATATTAAATTCTATTTAACTACGGAAGAGAGGAATTCCATTCTTGTTCAGGTTTCAGAAATAACACTGGAAAATATAAATATTTTATTTTCGTTTTTTTAATTATTACTACATTTTCTATTTATTTATTTTTTGTGAGTTACTATTTTGGTTTTGTTTTTGTCATGTTTTGTCGATTCTTTGTTTTTGTGTTTCTGAAGTATTTTCAGAGATATATATATATATATATATATATATATGTATATATGAAATTGAGAAGAAAACAAATTAGATTTAGATTTTCACTTTTATTTTTTTATTCTTTCTTTCTCTGAAATATCCAATGACATTCCTTGTTTGTAATCATAATGCTCTGGTATATGCTATGAGGCAGGCTTTGAGGGGTTTTCAGGTAGTGACGAGAGAAGAGAAAGGAAATCTGATTTCGAGAACTCAGAAGATGAAAGGCGCACAAGAATAGGATCCTTGAGAAAGAAAGCGATAAATGCATCTACTAGATTTAAGCATTCTCTCAAAAAGAAGAGTGGTAGAAGGAAAAGTGATGGACGCGTCAGCGCTGTATCCATTGAGGATGTTCGCGATTTGGAGGAACTACAGGCTGTTGATCAATTTCGACAAGCGCTGATTATGGAAGAACTGCTTCCAGAAAGACATGATGACTATCACATGATGTTGAGGTGTTCTCCTCTTTAACTTTATTTCATATTTACAAAAATATTAGTGTTTACTATTGGATGATTATTTTTTTAATACTGCAAGCAATGCAAGTTTTATCAGTTCTGTTCTCTTGTCAAGTCAGCAGCAGACAGCCTAATTACTGAACATTCTATCTACAATATAGTAGTTCACAATTGTTTATGAATGGTATGCTTCATGGTTCACTCACTAAAATCTTGACATGAATTTGATTTGCCTTGATAAGGGAAACCGATAAGAAGAATTGTGAGTCTGTTGGTCATGCTCTTCGTTTCATTGTTTCAACATATGTTATTTGCTTTCTGCTTGCTGATGTGATATATCCTTTTCAATGTTGCTTGAAATCTTCTGCATCATTTCTGCTGCTTTCTTCTTTTTTACTTGCCTTCCAACTTTGAATACTTTGACAAGTAATAATTGGTTTCTAGGGTTACTTTTATGTAGGTTCTTGAAAGCAAGGAAGTTTGATATAGATAAAGCTAAGCATATGTGGGCAGATATGCTCCAATGGAGAAAGGAGTTTGGTGCTGACACCATCATGGAGGTAATTAAGGTTAATAATTTGCCTGAAATAGTGGTTGTAATCCATGTTGTTCACTGCATTTATCCTTATTTTTCAGGATTTTGAGTTCAAGGAGTTGAATGAGGTTTTAAGGTATTACCCTCATGGTCATCATGGTATTGATAAGGAGGGAAGACCTGTGTATATTGAAAGATTGGGAAAAGTTGATCCCAACAAACTCATGCAAGTTACAACTATGGACCGGTATGTAAAATACCATGTCCAGGAGTTTGAGAAGGCCTTCACAGTGAAGTTTCCTGCATGTACATTTGCTGCAAAGAGGCACATAGATTCAAGCACAACAATTTTAGATGTTCATGGTGTGGTATGTTTCATGTAATCTCTCGTTGCCATGTTATTACCTGAATATTTGGCTGCTAAGTAGTAGCTAACTGTGGATTATTTTCCTTTCATCTATTTATTAGGGCTTTAAAAATTTTAACAAGTGTGCAAGGGAGCTGATTATGCGACTGCAAAAGATCGATGGTGACAATTACCCTGAGGTCTTTTATCTCAATGTGCTTTTATGATGAATTACGAATTGTTACTTCTACCATAAGGTTTTATATTATTTTATATTGAGCTGAAATTTTATGTTGTGGTCTTTTTGCAGACTCTTCACCAAATGTTTATCATCAATGCTGGACCTGGGTTTAGGCTGCTGTGGAACACTGTCAAGACATTTCTAGATCCAAAAACAACTTCCAAGATTCATGTGCGTTAATACTTTTCTGCAATATTTTTTAAATCGACTGTACTTTTCTTTTTTTGACTTCTCATTCCTTTTATTTTTTGGTGACTTATAATTACCCATATTGTGGAATGACTTTAGGTTCTTGGAAACAAGTACCAGAGCAAATTGCTTGAGATTATTGATGCCAGGTAAATGGGCATAGAACTTTCATGACATGATATATTATTCTTTATCTTCTTTTTGCAATACAATTTTCATCATCATCCGTCTGCCTTTAAAAAAAGTTTCTTTTATTATATTTCCCAATGTGGTTGCCTCATTCTGTCTAAAAGCTTATGGTGATATTTAAAATCCATTCAGTGAGTTGCCAGAATTTCTGGGTGGTAGCTGTACATGTGCAGATCAGGGAGGTTGCCTTCATTCTGATAAGGGGCCTTGGAAAAATCCAGAAATATTGAAGGTTATAAACTGGCCTTGATATTTATTATATGTTGTTAATGCTGTTAATTTCAAGGGCTTCATCAGCCTACTTGTTTCTAACAAAGAAACACTATGTTGCTTGTGTTTTCTCTCAGATGGTTCTTAATGGTGCAGCATGGCATGCCAGGCAAGTCGTAAAAGTTTTGAATAGTGATGGGAAGGTTATTGCTTATGCTAAGCCACGATATCCAATGGTATATGATCTTTCTAACTTTCAATGGTCCTTGCCTATTCTGTCCAATTTTGATATTCCTGTTTGAGGTAAGATTTTTGCATTATCTCATTGCTTATTGTTCTTTGTGAAGCAGCTGAAAGGTAGCGATACATCCACAGCAGAATCTGGATCAGAAGCAGAAGATATTGCATCTCCAAAAGCAATGAAGAGTTATTCACGACTGCAGCTGACCCCTGTTCATGAAGAAGTGGGTTTTTTTACCTTCTAATCTTTCATAGTGGTTATGGTATTGAATTACTTTGCTTGCCTATATGATTAAATTTGTTATGAATAATATAAATTGTTGGATGGGAAGAGATCTTAACATGGAATTCTGATTTTGGAACATAATAATGCTTTGGAATACTGGGTTCATTAATATGAAAACGGTTATAAAGTTTGACTAGATGTTTTTGCTTTACTTTTCTTTGGATCAGCTAGTTGCATTCCTTTTTCTCTTTATTTTGTTTGGTTGTCAATTAACAATATTCTATCGCCTATGAGTATCATGATGACTTAAAAGGGTACTTGATGTGACTGCATTGTGCATCTTATTGGGTTCTATGCCCAAGTTTAGTATCATTGGCATTTTTGGCTAAATTGCTAATCCTCTTGTTTGGTTTTGTAAATTATTCAGGCTAAGGTCGTTGGGAAATCAAGCTATGCTGGTAACTTCTCAGGCTATGTTGAATATGTTCCCACGGTCGACAAAGCTGTTGATTCTAGTTGGAAAAGACAAACCTCCCTCCAGAGGCCTTCTGCTTCCAGAGGTTAATGAATATAATCTTGTATATAGGCCGTGATACCTTTTAGATGCTAGAAATCTTCTTAAAAGCCAGCATAGACGTTTTATAATATGCTTGAGAACATGATGCCATTTTGCAATACAGGTATATTAACGTTGCCTGAAACTCCCAAGACCCCAGAAGGAATTCGAGCTCAGATTTTGCTTACTGTTATGGCTTTCTTCTTGACACTTTACACTCTCTTCCACTCGGTAGCATGCCGTGTAATTAGAAAGCTTCCTCACAAAGTTTCTGACCATTGTCGAAATGCTACTGAACTTACCCCTCATGAAACTCAAGAGGAAGAGTTTCGCCCCCCTTCTCCAACCCCTCCTTTTACTCAATCTGATATTCTATCTTCTGTGCTCAAGAGATTGGGTGAGCTTGAGGAGAAAGTTGATACCCTACAAGCAAAGCCATCGGAGATGCCTTATGAGAAAGAGGAATTATTAAATGCTGCTGTATGTCGTGTTGATGCCCTAGAAGCAGAGCTAATTGCTACCAAGAAGGTACAGTTGGCAGTCGTTATCTTGTTATTATTTTCCAAAATATTGTTCATATTTCTGTTAGAACTCCCTAAACCCTTACCTATGAATAGGTGATTCAGACATGTAGGTTGATTGACAAATGTCTCAACCTTGGTACTTTATATATGATTATTTACCTGGCTATGTAAAGCATTAAATGATATTTTCATTAATGTATCTGATGGTGCTAACAACATTACATTCTGCAGCAGCGAAAACTTGGTAAAAGATCTTTTCTGGAAGTTGGATTTAGTATCTTTTATGAATATAAGCATGTGATGGAGAAAAAAGGCCCCCAGTGTTAAGGCCAACTGTCTCTCCAGGCTGTACATATTTTCTGGAAATCTCAATGTCCTGTAGGGGAATATTTGTTTTGTTGTCAACTGATTAATTTCTTATTATGGCATGTTTGCAAGGTTTCTTTAGATTCTTGCAGTTATGGTATTTCTTGCTTTCATTTTCTGAAGTTTCATTTCGTTTGCATGTATGTGCTTGTATTGAATAGGCTCTTCATGAAGCTTTGATGAGGCAAGAAGAACTTCTTGCTTACATAGACAGTCAAGAGGAAGCCAAACTGCGGGTACATCATTCCATTGGTTTTCCTATTTGTTTATATACGTTACCTAGATGTTATGCTTAATTTTTGATGGTTACATCTGATGTTCTTATCGTGTTATGGTTGTGACTGCTATTTATCTGTTTCAGAAAAAGAAGTTTTGCTGGTGATAAAGCTATGGTGATGGAGACTACAAAAAAACCTCATCACTATCTTGAGTTCGTTTCTGTTTTACCACTCAACATACAACCACAACCGATGTTGATATTAGGGGGATATACTGCGGTAAGCAATGTAATTGTTGGTCCGAATACAAATCATAATGGAACTGTCTTTCTATCGGCTCTTTTCCCTTTTTTTTTTTTGACTAATCTCTTTCCATGTAATGTTTGAAATTGCTGCACTTCCTAATTAAAGGGTTTTCATAGTATATGTTGCTTATGGAACTTTGATGTCAAAAGTTTGATTTGCGAAGTTTTGAACTTTTAACATTTGTAAGCTCCCAAATGAATACCTGGCTTAAGACGCCAGAACTTGGTTTTGAAGGGTTTAGTTTTCAACGTACAATAGTAGCTGTTGTTTATCGCAAGAACCCAACAAATGTAACCAAAATGCTAAACAACCACCTACAAACAATATGAGAAAATCACTAACCTCTCTGCAAAGACTTAAAGGAACCAACTCTTCACCAGGCATTGATGGAAAACCAAAAAGGGGAAAACGACTCTCTTTTACTCCTCTCTGAAAACAACAGTCAACGAACGCACACTGCTCTATCTTCCACCATAAATGGCTGCTACTCACCTATCTCATTGAACTTCTCTTTCCAAAACCCTAAACCTACCCTTTAACCCAAAACCCATTCTCCAAACTCCCTATTCTGTTCCTCAAACCCTCCAAAAATCTCGTCAAACACCACTTTCTCTCCCTCAAACCTGTCCTCTCCCAAAACCCTGCTAATACCCTCAACTCAACCTTTCAACCCTGCTTCAAAAAATCCCCAGATGGATTTCTCTATTGTGAGGATACCAAGGTTCAAGGCATCACGGAACATGTCTAAAAAGGCCGTTTTATTTGTACGGTAAGCCTTAGATTACTAGGAATGCGGAAGCTTATAAGGGGGCTCTTGAAGGTTTGAAAAATTCGATTATTGGCTAACGCGATTAAGGCGAATGATAATTTGAAGATTTTGCAGCATTTGAGGAAATTGGGTTCCCGTGCTGTAGTGGCAATGAACGTAAGTTGGCTCTTCATGCCGGCTTCGACCCAACTAAGTATATTTCTTTCCTTGAACAATGCTTAATTTTGTTTCTTATGTCCATTCTGTTTATATTTTTTGCCAGCTATTTGCTTTTGGCTTCGCATTTGAATAAAAAATTATACAGCTTTTTCAAAGATATAATCAAAACTTTATAAACTTTTGTGAGTAACAAAATGCATTATTTTACGTTATAATTGACCAATTATGCTTAAATGTGTATTTCATTTTAATCATTTGTTTATTTTGTATTGATTTAGCGTAAGATTTTTAGCAATATTTTAGTAAGTAATAATAATAAAAAGCAAGTAGCAAAAGCATCCGAACATCGCCTTAAGTTATTCATTTGTTTGAATTGTTAGCTAGTTGGTATTCCGAACCTTGTCAAATTATTTAGAGAAAATGTTACACTCTCAAAAGGAGTGTCCTTACACCCTCATGACCCTCTAGGAGGAGTGAACTGGATATGGTCTTCACCTTTTGGCATTTTGAATGAAGTAACTGCTCTCAAGATGGTAGGTATGCCCTTGTGTTTGCAGGGCTAGACTTTTTAAATGTACTTGGTAATGCACCCATCAATGCAATGACATAAGATATTTAATGCATCTATCTTGGTCTATGATGTGGCAGGTCATGTTAAATGTAAATCAATGGATAGCCTTGGTCCTATTGAAAATGCAAGTGTAAACAAAGACCTGGCTAGAAATGATACGGATAAAAGCGTTTGTGGTTGTACTGACAACTCTAATTATTACAGTAAGGTTGATCATTCAGTTGGTATCAAAGACATTAGGAATTTCATTTCTGATGACACCTTTTTAATTAGGGATAGTAATCGCGATAGTTATTCCAAACCTCTCGAAGAAAGTCAAGCCCCGGTCAGTTCTAATGAAAAAAGGTGTTGAGTTTGTGTGGTCCGAAGACTGCCAGAAGCCTTTCCAAGCGATGAAGAACGAGCTCTTGTCTCCGCCAGTCTTGATGGCGGATCTACCATCAACTATTTGTCCGCATTTGTTAAGCTGAGTAGGAATAGTTTGGTGGTTCTTCACTGTTTATCTAGTTCTTGAAATATAAACATATAGGTGTATAATTAATGGCAATAGGAAGATATTGGAGGATTTGGTACTGGCTGCCCAAGAAGGTGTTTTTTGAACATTGATAGTGAGTTTGATCTGGAGAATATTGTATCAGCTGCAAGAATAGCTGGCAGGAAGGTTAATGTTTTGCTTCGGATCAACCCAGATGTGGATCCTCAGGTAATGAAGTAGCCGTAATAATAATTGTTAACTATCTGGACGCTCTAACATTTATGATTTAAATATGATTAACCTTGGTTTTGAGTTGACCTTATTAGCAAACACGGGTACATGTAAAATGGTTTAAAACAAGATGGAACTTGCTTTGTAGTGTAGTTATTATATGGCTCTGGTCATGTCTCGTCACTTAAAAGTGTATGACTGAAATATATGATACACGATAACCTAGTTGAGCTTATATATACTGCTTTCTCATGGTAAATATTGGTTTATTGAAGTTTGATCAACAGACATTTCATCCTATTTTTAGGGTAACCAGCATGCCTTCTTAGCCTCTATTATTCAATCTCCAGTTCCATAATAGCTCTCTCACCACTAAATTACCTCACGTCTGTTTTTTTCTCCATTTTTCTCTCGCACCAGTTTCAGTGTTCCTCAAGAACCAGATTATTGCCCCTTAGCTTGAAATCCTTCTGCCTACTGCACTCATTCTCAACTTTCAAGTTGATGATCCATGATAGGAAGGCTAGTAGATTTACTCAAGATAATTGGTTTTGGGGGAATGCAACTTAAACCTAGCTTTGAGGATTACCTTAATTCAAGGCCACTAAAGACTTTAAGATTTAAGAGATACTAGAAGCATGTTTTTTATCTGAATTTTATATTTATGTTTTTAATGACTTTTCTGTTATTCTGTAGGTCCATCCATATGTTGCTACTGCGAACAAGAACCCTAAATTTTGGTATTAGAAATGAGAAGCTGCAGTGGTTTCTGGATGCTATAAAGGCACACCCTAATGAGCTAAAGCTTGTTGGGACCCATTGTCATCTTGGTTCAACCACTACCAAGGTATCTCAACAACATTATGTTTATTTAATTATTTGATTAAACTTTCTGCAACTTAGATCTGGTAATAGAGAAATTTTGAGGCAGGTTTCACCACGGTTAACCCAAAACTTTTCTGATGACCAATTTGACTTATGCTAGATCAACTGGTACTTGTTTGTTTTAAAAGTTGTTTCTTAGATTCTCCTATCGCTCCTTCAATTTGGTTTATTTTCTGTATTCATCAATGTGTCTTAATCTAGTTGACGAATTGCACATTAATGCTATTGCTGCTTATGCATGTTCTGATTTGAAGCCCTTGTGTAATGTTGTTTAGGTAGATATATTCCAGGATGCTGCAGTTTTTATGGTCAACTACATCGATGAAATCCTTGCCCAAGGTTTTGAAGTTGATTATTTGAACATTGGAGGGGATTTGGGAATAGATTACTACCATAGTGGAGCTGTCCTTCCCACACCAAGAGATCTCATCAACACTGTTAAGTCTCAGAATTCTAAATCTTGCAAATTGTTGTCATAACATCTGTGGCTTATTCATGCATGAATTATTTGGGTAGCTGGTATGAGGAGTTCAATAGTATTCACATTTTGGCTGGAAACTTAATATATTTACTTAATGCCTTCATCCACTTGTACAAAGTTACTTCAAACAATAAATTAACGAGTGCATCTTAAGTTTCAATGCATATATTTTCTAGAAATCTTAATCTCATCATTGAACCGGGGAGATCAATCATTGCAAACACTTGCTGCTTAGTCAATCATGTCACCGGAGCCAAAAGTAATGGAACAAGAAATTTCATTGTGATTGATGGAAGTATGGCTGAACTTATCCGTCCTAGTCTTTATGATGCTTACCAAGTAAACCATGTCCATCATGCAGAATATTGATCCTTGCCATGTAAGACCCCCTTCTCTCCCCCTCACCCTTTTCTTAAATGTTGTTCAATGTCATAACTGTTTGTTATCTACATTACATTATTTTCTTATCACAACCGCACTTGTCATTTGAAAAGGCTTAGTTTATCTTGCTTGGAATGATGATATCATCAGCTATCAAGTTCGACATTTGATGAAACCGGTTTGAACAGTGCCTCATTCCTAGGTGCCATCAGTTGAACTTATGCCAAAGTAGCTGATTATTGGCTATCAATGTCACCACGTTCACCTAACCTCTGCTTAATCTATGTTGCAATGCAAACTTATTTAATTTCTGTTTCTTAGCATTTTTTGAACCTTCTAAAGACAAGAATTGCTAGTCACCCTAATCAAACTTCATTTTGTGTTTCCTGAATCGTACATTTGTATCGATGTAGTCTCAATGGACCTACTCATATTTGATTGCAACATATAGAGCTGGTTTCTCCTGCACCTTCTGATGCAGAGGTGTCTACTTTCGATGTCATCGGCCCAGTTCGAGTCTGCAGATTTCTTGGGAAAAGACAGAGAATTGCATACCCCAGCTAAGGGATTGAATTTTATCTAATGGGATGGTTGGAGCATGAATAGTTTAAGATTGCATTATCAGGAGTTTCATATTTGCAGGGGAATGGCCTGGTGGTGCATGATGCAGGTGCTTACTGCATGAGCATGGCCTCAACTTACAATTATGGCATGTTTGTTACTATATATTGAACTCTTGTTCTTTAGTTCTGGTTATCCTCATCAATATGATCTTTTTCTTTTAGCAACTGGTTTGTGTTAAATGAAAATCTCTGCATCAAATAACAACTGCATTCACAAACCATTGTTAATTTTAATAGAAAGAGATAAATGGGAATTTCAAATTAATGTTTTAAGGTTGAAGAAGATGGATCAGTGACCAAGATTTGGCATGGGGAGACATTTGAAGCAAAATTGTTAATATCGTATCGGATAATGTTTCATTTTTTTTTTTTTTTTAAATATGGTATATACTAATACCAATTGTTTCGATATATTATTTCAAATTTTTTTATATACATTTATAAACATGCATTGACTTGTATATTATAATACTATTAATAATTTATAAAATATGTAATATC